AAGCAGTCAGGCAAGCCGTCAAGGAAATGGTCAGGGAAGTGGTTATGGTCGGGCAAGTGGTCAAGTAAGCAGTCAGGCAAGCCGTCAAGGAAGCGGTTATGGTCAGGGAACTGGTCAAGCAAGCAGTCAGGCAAGCCGTCAAGGAAATGGTCAGGGAAGTGGTCAGGCAAGCCTTCAAGGAAATGGTCAGGGAAGTGGTCAGGCAAGCCTTCAAGGAAATGGTCAGGGAAGTGGTCAGGCAAGCAGTCAGGGAAGTGGTCAAGCAAGCGGTCAGGGAATCAGTTATGGTCAGGGAAGTGGTCAAGCAAGCCTTCAAGGAAATGGTCAGGGAAGCGGTCAGGCAAGCCTTCAAGGAAATGGTCAGGGAAGTGGTCAGGCAAGCCTTCAAGGAAGTGGTCAGGCAAGCCTTCAGGGAAGCGGTCAGGCAAGCGGTCAGGGAAGAGGTTATGGTCAGGCAAGCGGTTATGGAAGCGGTCAAGCAAGCAGTCAGGGAAGCGGTCCGGGAAGCGGTCAGGCATGCCTTCAAGGAAATGGTCAGGGAAATGGTCAGGCAAGCCTTCAAGGAAATGGTCAGGCAAGCCTTCAAGGAAATGGTCAGGCAAGCCTTCAAGGAAATGGTCAGGGAAATGGTCAGGCAATACTTCAGGGAAATGGTCAGGGAAGCCTTCAGGGAAATGGTCAGGGAAATGGTCAGGCAAGCCTTCAGGGAAATGGTCAGGCAAGCCTTCAGGGAAATGGTCAGGCAAGCCTTCAGGGAAATGGTCAGGCAAGCCTTCAGGGAAATGGTCAGGCAAGCCTTCAGGGAAATGGTCAGGCAAGCCTTCAGGGAAATGGTCAGGCAAGCCTTCAGGGAAATGGTCAGGCAAGCCTTCAGGGAAATGGTCAGGCAAGCCTTCAGGGAAATGGTCAGGCAAGCCTTCAGGGAAATGGTCAGGCAAGCCTTCAGGGAAATGGTCAGGCAAGCCTTCAGGGAAATGGTCAGGCAAGCCTTCAGGGAAATGGTCAGGCAAGCCTTCAGGGAAATGGTCAGGCAAGCCTTCAGGGAAATGGTCAGGCAAGCCTTCAGGGAAATGGTCAGGCAAGCCTTCAGGGAAATGGTCAGGCAAGCCTTCAGGGAAATGGTCAGGCAAGCCTTCAGGGAAATGGTCAGGCAAGCCTTCAGGGAAATGGTCAGGCAAGCCTTCAGGGAAATGGTCAGGCAAGCCTTCAGGGAAATGGTCAGGCAAGCCTTCAGGGAAATGGTCAGGCAAGCCTTCAGGGAAATGGTCAGGCAAGCCTTCAGGGAAATGGTCAGGCAAGCCTTCAGGGAAATGGTCAGGCAAGCCTTCAGGGAAATGGTCAGGCAAGCCTTCAGGGAAATGGTCAGGCAAGCCTTCAGGGAAATGGTCAGGCAAGCCTTCAGGGAAATGGTCAGGCAAGCCTTCAGGGAAATGGTCAGGCAAGCCTTCAGGGAAATGGTCAGGCAAGCCTTCAGGGAAATGGTCAGGCAAGCCTTCAGGGAAATGGTCAGGCAAGCCTTCAGGGAAATGGTCAGGCAAGCCTTCAGGGAAATGGTCAGGCAAGCCTTCAGGGAAATGGTCAGGCAAGCCTTCAGGGAAATGGTCAGGCAAGCCTTCAGGGAAATGGTCAGGCAAGCCTTCAGGGAAATGGTCAGGCAAGCCTTCAGGGAAATGGTCAGGCAAGCCTTCAGGGAAATGGTCAGGCAAGCCTTCAGGGAAATGGTCAGGCAAGCCTTCAGGGAAATGGTCAGGCAAGCCTTCAGGGAAATGGTCAGGCAAGCCTTCAGGGAAATGGTCAGGCAAGCCTTCAGGGAAATGGTCAGGCAAGCCTTCAGGGAAATGGTCAGGCAAGCCTTCAGGGAAATGGTCAGGCAAGCCTTCAGGGAAATGGTCAGGCAAGCCTTCAGGGAAATGGTCAGGCAAGCCTTCAGGGAAATGGTCAGGCAAGCCTTCAGGGAAATGGTCAGGCAAGCCTTCAGGGAAATGGTCAGGCAAGCCTTCAGGGAAATGGTCAGGCAAGCCTTCAGGGAAATGGTCAGGGAAGCGGTCAGGCAAGCCTTCAGGGAAATGTTCAGGGAAACGGTCAGGCAAGCCTTCAGGGAAATGGTCAGGGAAGCGGTCAGGCAAGCCTTCAGGGAAATGGTCAGGGAAACGGTCAGGCAAGCCTTCAGGGAAATGGTCAGGGAAGCGGTCAGGCAAGCCTTCAGGGAAGTGGTCAGGGAAGCGGTCAGGGAAGTGGTCAGGGAAGCGGTCAGGGAAGTGGTCAGGGAAGCGGTCAGGGAAGTGGTCAGGGAAGCGGTCAGGGAAGTGGTCAGGGAAGCGGTCAGGGAAGTGGTCAGGGAAGCGGTCAGGGAAGTGGTCAGGGAAGCGGTCAGGGAAGTGGTCAGGGAAGCGGTCAGGGAAGTGGTCAGGGAAGCGGTCAGGGAAGTGGTCAGGGAAGCGGTCAGGGAAGTGGTCAGGGAAGCGGTCAGGGAAGTGGTCAGGGAAGCGGTCAGGGAAGTGGTCAGGGAAGCGGTCAGGGAAGTGGTCAGGGAAGCGGTCAGGGAAGTGGTCAGGGAAGCGGTCAGGGAAGTGGTCAGGGAAGCGGTCAGGGAAGTGGTCAGGGAAGCGGTCAGGGAAGTGGTCAGGGAAGCGGTCAGGGAAGTGGTCAGGGAAGCGGTCAGGGAAGTGGTCAGGGAAGCGGTCAGGGAAGTGGTCAGGGAAGCGGTCAGGGAAGTGGTCAGGGAAGCGGTCAGGGAAGTGGTCAGGGAAGCGGTCAGGGAAGTGGTCAGGGAAGCGGTCAGGGAAGTGGTCAGGGAAGCGGTCAGGGAAGTGGTCAGGGAAGCGGTCAGGGAAGTGGTCAGGGAAGCGGTCAGGGAAGTGGTCAGGGAAGCGGTCAGGGAAGTGGTCAGGGAAGCGGTCAGGGAAGTGGTCAGGGAAGCGGTCAGGGAAGTGGTCAGGGAAGCGGTCAGGGAAGTGGTCAGGGAAGCGGTCAGGGAAGTGGTCAGGGAAGCGGTCAGGGAAGTGGTCAGGGAAGCGGTCAGGGAAGTGGTCAGGGAAGCGGTCAGGGAAGTGGTCAGGGAAGCGGTCAGGGAAGTGGTCAGGGAAGCGGTCAGGGAAGTGGTCAGGGAAGCGGTCAGGGAAGTGGTCAGGGAAGCGGTCAGGGAAGTGGTCAGGGAAGCGGTCAGGGAAGTGGTCAGGGAAGCGGTCAGGGAAGTGGTCAGGGAAGCGGTCAGGGAAGTGGTCAGGGAAGCGGTCAGGGAAGTGGTCAGGGAAGCGGTCAGGGAAGTGGTCAGGGAAGCGGTCAGGGAAGTGGTCAGGGAAGCGGTCAGGGAAGTGGTCAGGGAAGCGGTCAGGGAAGTGGTCAGGGAAGCGGTCAGGGAAGTGGTCAGGGAAGCGGTCAGGGAAGTGGTCAGGGAAGCGGTCAGGGAAGTGGTCAGGGAAGCGGTCAGGGAAGTGGTCAGGGAAGCGGTCAGGGAAGTGGTCAGGGAAGCGGTCAGGGAAGTGGTCAGGGAAGCGGTCAGGGAAGTGGTCAGGGAAGCGGTCAGGGAAGTGGTCAGGGAAGCGGTCAGGGAAGTGGTCAGGGAAGCGGTCAGGGAAGTGGTCAGGGAAGCGGTCAGGGAAGTGGTCAGGGAAGCGGTCAGGGAAGTGGTCAGGGAAGCGGTCAGGGAAGTGGTCAGGGAAGCGGTCAGGGAAGTGGTCAGGGAAGCGGTCAGGGAAGTGGTCAGGGAAGCGGTCAGGGAAGTGGTCAGGGAAGCGGTCAGGGAAGTGGTCAGGGAAGCGGTCAGGGAAGTGGTCAGGGAAGCGGTCAGGGAAGTGGTCAGGGAAGCGGTCAGGGAAGTGGTCAGGGAAGCGGTCAGGGAAGTGGTCAGGGAAGCGGTCAGGGAAGTGGTCAGGGAAGCGGTCAGGGAAGTGGTCAGGGAAGCGGTCAGGGAAGTGGTCAGGGAAGCGGTCAGGGAAGTGGTCAGGGAAGCGGTCAGGGAAGTGGTCAGGGAAGCGGTCAGGGAAGTGGTCAGGGAAGCGGTCAGGGAAGTGGTCAGGGAAGCGGTCAGGGAAGTGGTCAGGGAAGCGGTCAGGGAAGTGGTCAGGGAAGCGGTCAGGGAAGTGGTCAGGGAAGCGGTCAGGGAAGTGGTCAGGGAAGCGGTCAGGGAAGTGGTCAGGGAAGCGGTCAGGGAAGTGGTCAGGGAAGCGGTCAGGGAAGTGGTCAGGGAAGCGGTCAGGGAAGTGGTCAGGGAAGCGGTCAGGGAAGTGGTCAGGGAAGCGGTCAGGGAAGTGGTCAGGGAAGCGGTCAGGGAAGTGGTCAGGGAAGCGGTCAGGGAAGTGGTCAGGGAAGCGGTCAGGGAAGTGGTCAGGGAAGCGGTCAGGGAAGTGGTCAGGGAAGCGGTCAGGGAAGTGGTCAGGGAAGCGGTCAGGGAAGTGGTCAGGGAAGCGGTCAGGGAAGTGGTCAGGGAAGCGGTCAGGGAAGTGGTCAGGGAAGCGGTCAGGGAAGTGGTCAGGGAAGCGGTCAGGGAAGTGGTCAGGGAAGCGGTCAGGGAAGTGGTCAGGGAAGCGGTCAGGGAAGTGGTCAGGGAAGCGGTCAGGGAAGTGGTCAGGGAAGCGGTCAGGGAAGTGGTCAGGGAAGCGGTCAGGGAAGTGGTCAGGGAAGCGGTCAGGGAAGTGGTCAGGGAAGCGGTCAGGGAAGTGGTCAGGGAAGCGGTCAGGGAAGTGGTCAGGGAAGCGGTCAGGGAAGTGGTCAGGGAAGCGGTCAGGGAAGTGGTCAGGGAAGCGGTCAGGGAAGTGGTCAGGGAAGCGGTCAGGGAAGTGGTCAGGGAAGCGGTCAGGGAAGTGGTCAGGGAAGCGGTCAGGGAAGCCTTCAGGGAAATGGTCAGGCAAGCCTTCAGGGAAATGGTCAGGCAAGCCTTCAGGGAAATGGTCAGGGAAGCGGTCAGGCAAGCCTTCAGGGAAATGGCCAGGCAAGCCTTCAAGGAAATGGTCAGGGAAATGGTCTGGCAAGCCTTCAAGGAAATGGTCAGGCAAGCGGTTATGGCCAGGGAAATGGTCAAGGAAGTGGTCAAGCATATGGTCAAGCAAGCCTTCAAGGAAATGATCAGGGAAGTGGTTATGGTCAGGCAAGCGGTCATGGAAGTGGTCAAGCAAGCAGTCAGGCAAGCGGTCAAGTAAATGGTCAGGGAAGTGGTTATGGTCAGGCAAGCATTCAGGCAAGCAGTCAGGGAAGCGGTTATGGCCATGGAAATGGTCAGGGAAATGGTCAAGGAAGTGGTCAAGCAAGCAGTCAGGCAAGCCGTCAAGGAAATGGTCAGGGAAGCGGTTATGGTCAGGCAAGCGGTCATGGAAGTGGTCAAGCAAGCAGTCAGGGAAGTGGTCAAGGAAATGGTCAGGGAAGCAGTTATGGTCAGGGAAGTGGTCAGGGAAGCAGTTATGGTCAGGGAAGTGGTCAGGGAAGCAGTTATGGTCAGGGAAGTGGTCAAGCAAGCAGTCAGGCAAGCCATCAGGGAAGTGGTCAAGCAGGCAGTCAGGGAAGCGGTTTTGATCAGGGAAGCGGTCAAGCAAGCAGTCAGGCAAGCCATCAGGGAAGTGGTCAAGCAAGCGTTCAGGGAAGGGGTTATAGTCAGGCTAGCGGTCAGGGACGTGGTCAAGCATATAGTCAAGCAAGCAGTCAAGGAAGTGATCAGGGAGGTGGTTATGGCCAGGGAAGAGGTCAGGGAAGCAGTTATGGTCAGGCAAGTGGTCAAGCAAGCAGTAAGGGAAGCGGTCAATGAAATGGTCAGATGTGGTCAAGGAAATTGTCAGGGATGTGGTCTTTGAAACTTTCATTGGAATTTTGCGTAACACCTACTGGAGATCTTCTCAATTCAGTGATTTATTCATATGGCATATTTTACCTGTTTCTCAAACAGTTTAGAGGTTTTGTCGCTCTCTCTCCCTCTTCCCTCAAATAAAGAGAATTTATTGATTGAAGAGTTGGTGTTTTTGTTATTTGGCTGTTTTCTCACATAACTATGGAACGATATTCCGGACAATTTTCAAAAGGAATTGCAAATTGTATTTTCAATTGCGTTTTCCATATGTGGACGCATAAATTGTGCCATAATCCAAATGCAATTGCAAATCCTGCATTACCGTTTGCATTTTCGCTTTCGCGAACGCACAGTGACTGCCAAATTTCAAATGAAAAAGCAAAGTCCATTTGCAACTGTATTTCCCATGTCTTAGGAGTTACGAGCCTGTCATATTTAAATAGCAATATTAATTACCAGTCTGCTTTTTCACTCTCGCTGCGTCGCGCATGTAACCTGCCAAAACTCAAATGGAATCGCAATTCCTTTTGCATTTGAATTTCCGATGTCTACATGGAAAGCTGCCAATCATCGTCAGGGGCGGGACTATACTAGGGGGCGTGTTTGTATTGGGAGGTGACGTCACTCACAGACGACCGTGCCGAATGCTCTGATCAATGGAGGTAATCGGTAAAGGCTCCGCTAAAGGCAGCTAGCAATCAGTTTCGTACCTGTGTGAACGAATAGACAGTGCAACCTTCTTGGCACAATACATAATATGTATGTATGCATGTATGTATGTACTAGGAGCACCTTAAAAAAACCACAACAAATTCCTCGTGTGTTTGCACACACCTGGCGAATAAAGCTAATTCTGATTCTGATTCTAAACAGTGAGAGATGCTGAGACAGGTGAAAGCGTTTGGTTAATAGTGAATATTGACCTATTGTGCGTACCGTTGTGGCTCCCGCTGTTAGCAGGGGATAATCGCTACATTTGGGGTAAAAAAGACATAATTATGTATTGTGCCAAGAAGGTTGCACTGTCTATTCGTTCACACAGGTACGAAACTGATTGCTAGCTGCCTTTAGCGGAGCCTTTACCGATTACCTCCATTGATCAGAGCATTCGGCACTGTCGTCTGTGAGTGACGTCACCTCCCAATACAAACACGCCCCCTAGTATAGTCCCGCCCCTGACGATGATTGGCAGCTTTCCATGTAGACATCGGAAATTCAAATGCAAAAGGAATTGCGATTCCATTTGAGTTTTGGCAGGTTACATGCGCGACGCAGCGAGAGTGAAAAAGCAGACTGGTAATTAATATTGCTATTTAAATATGACAGGCTCGTAACTCCTAAGACATGGGAAATACAGTTGCAAATGGACTTTGCTTTTTCATTTGAAACTTGGCAGTCACTGTGCGTTCGCGAAAGCGAAAATGCAAACGGTAATGCAGGATTTGCAATTGCATTTGGATTATGTCACAATTTATGCGTCCACATATGGAAAACGCAATTGAAAATACAATTTGCAATTCCTTTTGAAAATTGTCCGGAATATCGTTCCATACATAACTGCTTTCTGGCATCAGTGCTTTGTGTAAGTTCCTCTCCCTGGGACCTGGACATTTAGAAAAGTATTAGTCAATTTTTACACAAAATTCTACATTATGTCATGGGGACACAAATGGCACCAAATGCTAGGAGTGAACCGAATAGCTGTTACTTTCCATATACAGTGGTGTGAAAAAGTGTTGGCCCCCTTCCTGATTTCTTTTTTTTTTTT